CCCTCTCGGGAGCGCGGAGCGGGAGCCGTCCGTGCGGGGGCCGAGCGCCCTCCCCGCGGTTTGAACCCCCGCGGTGCATGAGGCCTGCGTGAAGAAGAACGGCACGGAGCTCTGGCACGGAGCTCGGGGGAGTTAAACGGGTCAGGGAAAGCCCAAAAAGGTGGAAGGGAGGAGGTTTACCGGGAGCTGCTGTTGCGAGGGTGGGAGACGGGCGCACAAAGCCTGGGTTAAAAGGCTGGGAGTTGTCCTACGTGGTGCGAGAAGGAAAGCTTACAGCTCGGGTTATTTTAACTAAAATACAAAGACGTTTTGCTTTACTGGCGTTTAATACGTGGATTGACAGAGGTGCCCCCACCCCGGTCCATAGGAGGAGCCAGTCCTGCACCCGAGCGGGGACAGGAGGTGTCCTGGGCGAGAGCGGGAGCCCCCCGGCCCAGAGGGGTTGAGGGCTCGCTGCTTTCCAGCCCGGTGCAGCAGATGGCAGTTCCCGTGTGCCCGGCTAACTGCTTTTCTGGTTCGGGGCGCTGTGCGCCAGCGCGAGGCCGTGGCAGTTCCCGAACCGGGCTGTGCGGCACACGCCGACGGGCCCTGTGCTGTTCGGCAGCTCTGCTCGAGCCCCTGCGGCGCTCAGCACGTCCTAACGCAGTGACGAGTGTCCGGGAGCCTCTCCCGAGGCTGCTTCTTTAATGGGGAGACAAATGGCCACGTGGCATTGGGGAAGCAGTGCCTCTTCCTGCTCCGCTAAAACCGGCTGAAATTATTAACACTTGGGGAAAAACAGGGCGCTAAAGGCAAATGCTGCCCCTCTATGAGAAAGTGCTGCGTGTGAGGGGAGAGCGGGAGAGACCGGGAGCGCAGGGCTCGTTCCCACTGACGTCTCACATAGAAAGTTACAAGTTTTATTTTTCTTAAATAACAGTTAACACTCAGGTGAATAGAACAACGCAGTGAACACTGCGGAAAGAGGGAATGTCTAAGGTGGCCCTGCAGCAGAGATGAGGCACAGCTGCAGGAGTGGCAGACGGAAGAAAAGGAGTTAATTGTGCGGAGGGCTGGGAATCGCAGGTCTCGGGGAAGCGGAGGCAAGATGGTGGGGGCTCAAGGCGAAGGAGGGGGCCGCGGTGGGGGAGTTTCTGACGGCGGGGTGTGGGGCTGGTCAGAGAGGCGGGATGAGAGGGGCGGTGTAGACGGAGTGGCGGAGTCCAAAGGTGGGAGCAGGTGCCTGGGGCTTGATGAGCGTCACCTGGAAGGGAAGAGAGAGAGAACCGCACCAAAGGTGAGGGTGGAGGATGGCGCTGCCCTCCCAGCTGCTGCCCAGGGCAGGAGAAGGTCCCTGGCGGGGCGTGCTCATCCCCTGTGCAGGGGGTGTCCTCCTGAGGAGCACGTGGTGTGCGAGCGAGCGCCTGTGAGCGGTGACAGGCGGAGGCAGCGGAAGGGCAGAGCTGTGCTGTGCTCCTGGCCCTGCCGGTGCTGGGCTGTGGGCCGAGGCAAGGCAGCGGGGGCGCTGTCCTGCGGCCGGTGACTGCAGGCTGGTGGCCTGGAGCAGTGGGAAGCCCCTGGGAAGGGGGGAGATGCTTCAGGGCTGGCTGGGGCCGCGGGACGGCCGGCTCTCCCTTT